ACCCGGATCCCGCTCCGACTCGTCGAGTTCTTCCCTGGACTCGACGAGTTGACTCCTTGACTTAGAGCTTTGCCTTTCTTTTCTTGGTCTTTCTGATTCCGGGTGTTACACGTACATACAGTGATATTCTCACATGAGAAATGCATACTATTTTTCTAGTAAAGATAGTTTACAAATATGGAAAACATACATTTTATACTATTTCAAGTATAAACATACATTTTATACTATTTCAAGTACAAACATACATTGTATACTATTTCAAGTACAAACATACATTTTACACTATTTCAAGAGAACAAAACATACAAATAGTTTGATCTTGGTTAGAAGACTACTTTTCATATAAGAAGAAAATATAGGATTTTTTTGGGAAGTATACTAACATTTTCATGAAACTACTACAAACATTTGACACTAAATACTTATGAACTCACCAACTTAAATGTTGATACTCTCTTTCAAAATAACTTGTATTCTCAGGGAACCAGTAGACATGTACGCTAGCATAGGTTTTGAGAAGACGGAGCATGTTCAAGACTCGTCTTTACTTTTTGCTATACATTTTTGGTGTCATACAACTATACAAAGAACACACATGTATTAACTATATTATCAATGCAATGGATGTTGTTGCTTGTTTTACTATTGTGCATTGTTATGATATTGTGCATGACGTCTTCCGCCCCCGAATGTTTCCACCATCTCGGTTTGGGGGTGTGACATTATTTTTTCACCCCCGCCCCAACCCCAACAATGTCACTATCAACAAATATCACAATATTACTGTATGTCAACCGTTAGCCCAACCTTATTTCATAATTTATCCCATCTACCGGAATACAGTCCGGGAATCCAACCCCCGACCAAGCCGAAAATCGAATTTGTTTGGGAAATGCAACTCGAACCTGAACCCAAACCCGGTCCCGTACCATCCGACCCCAAAGGAATAGAAAAAGCGCCAAGTAAAAAAGAAAAGACAGCCCCTCAACAATGGACATCATAAGAAGATAAAGTATTAGCGGATATAATGGGTCAAGATTTCCGAAGATCCCGTGAGCAAAATGCGCAACCGAACAGAAATTTTTGTCGACGCATTACCGAACAGTTTCTCAACGAAATGGATTGTGGCGAGTCAGGTACAAAGAACCAATGGAAGACCAAGTTTCATTGAATGGACAAGATAGTTATAAACGGGACGTACAACAACTTGATGAGTCAACGAAAAAGTGGGGAAAACGTATATAAACGCTTTCAAAACGGCACTTGAAATATTTAAAGCTTCAAATGTGTCGAAACTTGGAAGTTTTTATCCAAATCCCAAAAATGAAAAATAAGAAGGTGGTTCGAAAATAAACAAAAATTCTGAAATGACTTTACACAAATTCACCGGATGCTCTTTTCGGTTTGGTTTGAACCAAGATGACAAGCTTGGACTCGAAGATATAGTCTGCGTGATTGGTATAAGACAAAAAAGAGAGGCTCATCATCTAATGCATCGGAAGTCGACAAAGATGATCACATACACAAGATGCCAAATAGTTTCGAATTATATAATTTGAATTTCGATAAAGAGAAATTAACCGAGAATAAAAGTGGGGGAAAAAAATTCGTGATATGAAATTTATAACGCAAAACGTCGACCATCTTCTGGGAGATGAACTCGTGATAATTTTGGGAGAAAATGAAGAAAATTATGAAAAAAAAAATGTCTAGTTGACTTTTTATATTCGCTTTTAACTGTGTAATGATTTTTATTATTAATTTAATGAAATATTCTTTTTTTTATTATTTTAAATGTTAAGAAACTTATTGAATTATAATTTTACATATTAAATAAAAATAATGAAAGGTAGTAAGAAATGATCATTTTCATCGGTAACGGGGTGAGAAGAAATGACATGGTAATAATATAACAGTAAAAAAAAATAGAAGGCAGTGAGAAGATACACGGGAAAATGACTTAGGAGGGTAACTACCTCTTATTCGTGTTCACATATTGGCAACTTCTTTTTTGTACATAAAAAACAACTAACTTGTTTTAACTGTTTAAATTACACCAATATTACCGGCTAATACCTGTTTTAACCGGTAACTCAAAAGGAAAATGACTTAGGAGGGTAACTACCTCTTATCCGTATTCATATATTGACAACTTTTTTTTTGTACATAAGAAAGCAACTAACTTGTTTTAACTGTGTAACATCCAAAAAATCATGACCAAAAATTTCGTTTTTAATTTAATACTAAAACCATAATTGTCAAACCATTAATTTAATACTCCGACATCGGGCCCCGCCCGGCATCAGGCCCCACCTGTCTCCGGGTCCCGCCCGCTAAACACATACAATCATATGACATGCTAACACATAAA